AATACGTTTAATAAAAGACTCACCTAGACCATTTTGTGTATGAGTGTGTGCAACTGGATGCTCAATATCCATTCCTGCTAACATGAAATGGTTATTGAAGTCTATGATGTAACTTCACCAGCATTATCCAAATACATTGGTTTGATTGGATAATCTAGGACTTGAGCTCATAACCGGATTATTTGAGTGATAAGTCTTACAAATGCGACATTTCTTGTAGAACGTAGACACACATGTGACCATCTTGTTGATGCATCTACTAAAATCATGAAATAACGAAATGACCCACTCAGAGGGTGTATTGACCCACATATATCTCCTTGATTTCAATGCAAAATATTAGGGAATTCAGAAATTAATTTTGAGAGGGATGATCTAATAATAAGTTTATCTTGTAAACAAGCAGAACATAGATAATCACTTGGTAAAAGAATCTTCTAGTTCTTTAGAGAATTTCTATGTGAATTCTCAATGATCCTACGTATCATTATTGATCCTGGATGACCAAGACGATCATGTCAAATCATAAAATTCTTTGGATCAAAGCATTTCTAGTGCATCAGAACATTTGATTCTAGTATAGTACAACTAGAAGAGAGAGTACGAAGTTTCTCTAGTACATGTTTATGGCATGATACAATATAATTGATGTATAAATACTCTATGCCACGCTCATTCGTCATTTCAATATGATATTCATTACAATGTATGTATTTAAAAATTAGTTATTTATGCTAAATCTACTAGAGTATAATGCATTTTGAATGAAGAGCTTTGTTCCATGGGGTAGCATCTTATTTACTTTGCTAGAGCCTTCAATCAAGTTTATAGGATTTGATATTGTATTAACACTAGCTTTAAATAATGTTAGTCTAAAGAAATACTTTTTATCTTGAAGAATTGTGTGAGTCATGACATTATTTGCGTGGCATATATCTTCATTGTTCATTTTAGAGTTAACCAATGAATTATCATGATCTATGTTTCTATATGAAAAATACACGCTTGATTTTATTAATACATACACACTACTCAAACTATTACATTACAAAAATAATAAATAGCAAACTTAAGCAAAACTAACAGACATACATGCAAATTATTGTTTTAATATATTTTCCCATTTCATTTTCATTTGAGTTCACCAAAGAAATCAGAGACATCACAAAGAAATCAAATTAGCAAAATCGGATGGATAATCAGTGAGGGTGGTGCTTGATGTCCCTCACCAAATTCGTCTCTATCAATTTTTCTTTTCCATCGATGGATTTTTTATAGAGATCTACCAAATGTTTCAGCATATGGTAGGTATGCGACTAGTGTCATTTCATTCCACATCTGTAACAAGCATCTTCAGTCTTCTTAAAGAGCTTATTCGGTAAACTCTTTTCTTTGCTCTGGTTGTTCCACTTCTGGTTCTGTGAATGGTTGTTTCAGTTTTGGTGGTGTGGGGGTATTTCTCCATTTCTGACTTGGTGTGAAGGACTTTGAGCCTCCACGATAACTCTTGCGAAAATGATTGTTTTTATTTTTGCCAATACCATAACCATGCTCTCGTCCTTAACCACGAAAAGATGTGATATTTACTTCTAAAAAGACTTGGTGTCAAGTTGGACGAGACTAGTTATTCTTCATTAGTAATTCATTATTCTCCTCGGCAAGTAAAAGGCATACTATGAGCTCATTATGTGTCTTGAACCCATTTGCCTATATTGTTGTTGTAATAAAATGTTTGACGTATGGAATGTTAAATAGGTATTCTCTCATTTTTCTGAATCTTGTACAGGCTGACCATATAATTCTAATTTAACAATAATTCTATGTATTGTGGAATTGTATTCGCATACATTCTTAAAATCTTGAAATTGAAGGCTGAATTATTCATGTCTAGCATTCGGAAGGATAATGGTCTTTTGGTGATCAAACCTGATTTTTAAATTTTTTTCACAACTCTAAAGGAACTTTAACTGTGAGGTACTCATTTTTTAATCCTTCATAGATGTGACAATGAAGAAAAATCAATGACTTTGTGAGATTCTTAGGAGTTGTCTTGTTTTTATCTTTTATGGTATCTCCAAGATTTGTATGTAAGTTTGCCTGCAGTTCCAGCCGCCAAATGAGTCGAAATTATGCCCAATGTTAAGAAAATATAAACAATGGTTATATCCAATAAACTAATCAAGTTCCTAATAAAAAGCTATTTTACATGACAAACTTACATTGAGAAATTCTTCTTCCAATTACTATTCAAACACTTCAAATAGTTTGTCGTCCTATAGAAAATGCACAAAATCTAATTTTGAAACTTGGTAGACACGTATTTAATCCATTACATCAACATAAAGCAACAATATTTATTAAGTAACCACAAAAATTATACTTACCGAAAAACCCATAGAATGATGAGTACATGATTTACCAAGAAACATAAATATCATCTAAATTCACTTAACAAAACTAATAGATTATAATATTGCAGTTACTTGGCAAAGCTTCTAGCCACATAAAACTGTTGCACCCATTTCACTTTAAAAAAACTATACATGAGAACTACTTTCGAATCTAACATACTTTCAAGTACCTTTTACTCCATTGCATACGCTTTGCAACTCACGTTTTTTTCTCAACATAAAGGTACCTCAAACTACCGTTTTAACGTGATTGATCATAAAATATAATGCAAACTATTGTAACTTCTTAATTCTTTCAACACATGAGTTTTCTTGAGTACTCCATAATCCATCGACACAAAAGCTTTTGGTAGTCCCATTAATTTTCCTAACATGGAAAATTACTCATGTAAGAGAAATTTGGCTAAATCAAAATATGTTCTACTATAAATGATCAATGACTATTGAGATGCTGTTTATCTCTCCTATCCTGGGTTCAAAACAAAACTATGACCTCCATGCCTTTTATTTTTCCCAGGTGTAATGCTTAATAAAATAGATTACGCCAACATTTTCCTCCACAATCAGTGGGATATTCATGTAAAGAGATCACTGTGAAAAGGGTACACACCTATCAAAGGAAAAAAATAAACCAACCCTGTTCGACATTCCATCAAAAGAACAAATCTTTCATTATAGAGAGATACACAAACATTAAATAAACACAACCCAGATCAACATTCACATCAAGAACCAATATTTCAAGCACATATACAGAAATTAATTGTATGGGAAGGATATTTAAACAAAACCATTAGAAAAAAGTCACCAAAATTACTTGAAAGAATAGACATAGATTTGTCTCACATCCCGAGGTATTCTTTACCTACTCACCTGTATCAATTTCTGGTACAAGTATCCTTTTATTGAAGATCATTTAAACTTTTCTTAGCAGTCTGACATGTATTATTTAAATTAACATGATAGTTCATAGAGTGCCTGAGCAAATTAGTAAAAACCCCATCACATTATAAATTCGTACAGACATAAGCATAGTTCATACAAAATGATTCAACAAATTCATACCAAAAGATATTGGCTACACATAAACATGATTAGTTCAAAAGCAGGTACAACTTTATACACACAAAATCTACTCGAAGATAAGTAACCAACAAGAGAGTCTAGAATTAAGTGTTCCCTTTGCGACGTTGTCTTAAGACCTGCAAAATTTAATAGAGTTTAGTCATCGCCATATTGGAAAAGTAATATCCTAATAAAAATTTAAATAGTATGCAAAAAAAAACTACAACTTAATCTCAACAATTTGTAATGTAGTACAACGACTCAATTTGCCATAAACTTTAGTATCATTTAAAGTAAACAATGTGTCTCGGGGTACAAGAATATGTCAATTGCTTAACAAGTATCCAGTACATATATCTTACGATACAATTCAAGGTTTTATCATCATTTTCCACTAGTTAATGGAACATTCAAGCCGCTCTCAGAGACCTACACTCGGGTGTCTGTTGACATCCCAGCAGTACGGTTTATCTCAAAGGGTAATTTATAATTAATAAATTTAAAGTATACACTCAGTTTCTATTTGGTTCCTAAAGTTATCATTAAAACAATTACATCCTTAAAGTTTTAATGGAGTTTCAATTCAGTCATTTGATCTAAATTTGTTAAAAGTGTTCTAACAAAAAGATGTCTCAGAACTTGCCCATAAAAATGTGTTTGTCCAACAAAAAATATCCCTCTTAGGTGCATTGGTATTTCTCTATCCATTTCACAACAAATCTCAAATTCTTACTCTCCGTCTTTCGTTTTGGGTTTGTTATAGTTTTTTTTTCCCTCAAAATCAAATGAAATAAAGTTAAGTTTTCTAGTCAATGCATAAATGATTTTTCCCCAAATAAATATACCCTTTAACCAAGTCACTTGTTAGTCACGAAAATTCATTTTGCCATAATAAATTATTGATTTTAAACGTATGGATTAAATAGAAGCTCAATTTATACTTGAAGGATTTGATTGTTGAAATTGAAATTTGAAAGACCAAGTAGGAATTAGGTACAAATTTTAAGGATATAAATTATAATTTACGGTATCTCAAAAGGGAAATTCATAATCGGATGGAATGACTACTCAAAGATCAACTAAAAATTTTCACCATTGTGCAATTTGAGAGTGTACAGTATACAAATAGACCCAATTACAGTAGATATATTGGGCAGTAAAACTTCAATAGTGAGGCCAAAATCTTATTCAAAAAGACTGTCCGAATCTGCACAAAATTTTTGTACAACATCATTGACTTTCAAAATTTGTTTAAAATTCTAGGTTCTCAATTTTATTCTTAAAATTTGTTAGTGGTTTTGAATGCATAAAAAATTACTATAAAAACAGTTACCACTTGAAACTTTCATAACGAAACTCTCAATTCTTAATTTCATATACTTGGGTCATAACAATGGTAAAATCAAAAACAAATACTTATAATCACTATATCAAGAATCAAACACGTGCAATCACCCAATTATATGAATTTAAAGGAGAACAAATGTATTATTTGCCTTACCTCAAATTGATCATAATGAACGGAAATTTTCTTCTTTGACTCAAGCCATAGCACTAGTACTTCAGTACTCCTGCCACACTGGGGCAAATGGCAGTTTGCAACCCGAATACTCCAAACTTTTACTCCACAACTCTCATTTTTTGCATCCCTCAGAACAATTCAAAATCGAAACTGAAAGATTAAAAGTATCATTATGCACCTTCAATCAAACATAAGGTAGCAATGTACTCTATTTCAGGAAAATTGAGCATCAAAATTCTATTGAAAACACTTAAAATTGAGTATTATGCAAATAATTGTATATAAAAATATGATAATATGACATAATCCAACCAAAAAAAAAATTTGAAGAGTATGCCACAAACATTTACTTTTGCACTGTAATGCTATCTTTCAAACAATTCGCGTAATATGATATTTTTTTAGCCTGCAAAGTGTCATTCACCCTCCTTATTAAGAGGATAAAATAGGGAGAAATCCCACTTTGCATCCCAAAAATATTTAAGTTTTTTTTACTTTGTACCCTTAAAAATGATTTTTTTTCACATTATACCTTCAATGTATTAAAAATATTGTAATGTGACTCTTCCGTTAACTTTCGTTGCTTATTCCGTCAAAATTCATAATTTTAATGTTGACAGAAAGAGTAATGAAAACTAACAGAAGAGTCACATTATAACACTTTTAATACATTGAATGTATAATGTGAACATCTAATCTTTATAAATATAAATATAAAGTGAATTTTCAAATTTTTTAAGGTACAAAATATAATTTGCCCTAAATATGAGTGGATCTTTTAATTGCCTCCCTAATTGTTAGTTTATAAAGGAGGAGATACTCCCTTTTTGTTTCTCTACATATAACTACGAGACTCTCATAAAGTCTTCCCAAAACACCAACACCGGTTGCAGGATTCGCCAAATTCTCCTTAAATGGTGAGACTGAATTTTTAGAATTCAAGATAAATAAATTCTACTAATGTGAATAGAGTCACACTTTGAGCATAAGGAGACCACAAAAAGTTTCTCTACAACTTCCACTATATTGTCATATTTTTTTTTAAGTTTCAAAGAAATTTATTATGATAATATACCAAATGGGACCATTATATAATAGAATGAGAAAAATGTAAACATAAATATGGAAAAAGATTAGTCCTAAGGAGAAAATTACCTTAAATGGGACACCTTGGGCCACTCAGGGCCACCCGTTTTGCATCTTTCTTCTAATAGGGGACATTCCTCTAGGTACAAACTCTCTAATTTGGTGAGGCGCTGCATGACTTCAATTTTGGGCAGATACCGCAGTTTCTTGCATTCTTTTACATTTAGTCTTTTAAGAGATGAAAGCTTACCAAACCACTCGGGTAAAGCTTCCACTCCAAAGCTTTCTAGATACAGATATCTCAGGGCGCTGAGGTGTTGAAGGTGTTCTGGGATAAGGTCCCAGTGAGGGCACCCATACAAGCTTACTTCATTAAGGGATGCATGCAAGTGTTGGACACCATCAAGACTCGGGAACAAATCAAGCTCTTCAGAAAAGGGACCAATCGTCAAGTGGACCAAGCAGGTAAGAAATTGTAGCCCCTTGGGCAAGCAAGTTAATTTCCCACAATGTGCAATTGTTAGAGTGGAGAGAGAACACAATGCTTGTATATCTGGGAACGAGGTTAGATTGGTGCAATCTTCAACCTCTAAGCTCTTCAAGGATGTGCAAGATTGTAGCTCCTTAGGCAAACATGTTAATTTGTCACAATGTCTAATTTTTAGAGTGGAGAGAGAACACAACGCTTGTATATCTGGGAATGAAGTTAGATTGGTGCAATCTTCAACCTCTAAGGTCTTGAGGGATGTGCAAGATTGTAGCTCCCTAGGCAAACATGTCAATTTGTCACAATGTCCAATTCTTTGAATGGAGAGAGAACACAATGCTTGTATATCTGGGAACGAGGTGAGACTTTTGCAATATCGAATACCCAAGGTGTTGAGGGATGTGCAAGATTCTAGCCCACTTGGAAGACAAATTAACCCATCACATGACCGAAGAGCTAATTCACGAAGGGATGTAAGGCCTTGAATACTCGAAATGGAGTTGAGATTTGGACACTGGATGATTGTTAGTGATCGAAGACGAGAGTTTGCATCGCAACCTCGTAAGTATGAAACTTGTGTTAACTTGGGACAATGTGATATCTGTAGAACCTCCAGATATTTATTGTCTTGAAATAGTTGATCTCGTAAAGAAGTGAGTTTGTCCACCCCCACAATCTGGAGCTTCGTCAGAGTCTTTAGTTTGCTGCTGCATATCGTTTCCAATGGCAAGCTTCTACATACATTCTTATAACGCAATTCCTTAAGGAGTGGGAAATGACTTGGAGCACTTTTCAATTGCCAGCACCCATCAATGAACAACTCATAAAGTTTAGGAAACGCTTGCACCCCACTTCCTTCTGGTAATTCTATCCATTCTTCTAGGTTGGCCATATTCCACATTCCGAATCTTTTCAAAGAAGGAAATAATACCTTTGTCTCGTTACTACTGTAGCTAGTTCCTGATCCATGGCAATCATAACCATAGAATGACTCACCTAGGCATTTTACATTATCCATTCCTACCAACTCAAGGTCTCTAAGAAGTGGTAGTCGGCCGAGCATTGGCATATGTTCACATTTGTTGCAGCCTTTTAGTGTGACCATCACCAAATTGTTGAGTGGTAACCAGGCGTCTTCACCATTAGTAGTCACAGCCATCTTCATCATCCATAACGGGAAGTACTCACCCGGGAATCCATTTATGTCTAAGCCTTTTAAGCTTGGGGAAGGATGGAGGCCTTCCAAGACATCTTCAGCGCTCTGATTACCATTCCGCACAGATTTCCAGTTGAGTGCCAGCTTGTATATATTTTTCTTTCCGCATAAATCTGCCTTTTGTGCTTCCTCTTTACTGCCCACTTCCTGGAGATCATATATATCAAGCTTACCTCTGAGATTTTTTAAATATCCTAACTCTTCAATTTGGAAACCCTTGTCTTTACCCACTCTGAAGAATGATAGAGTTTGAAGGGAAGTTAACCACCTTATCTCATGTGGCATCTGAACCATCTGACCTAGGTATTTGTTCTCATCAAGATAGATATGTCTTAAGCTAGTCAAATTTTTGAATTTCTTAGGAAACTTTTGAATTTTGAAACACCTCTCGAGTCTTAATGTTTGCAGATGGTAAAGTTCAACAATGGATTTCGGTAAACTACGGATGCCACTATTTGACAAGTCAAGGTACCTTAAGTGTACCAATTTGCTTATTGAAGACGGCAGCTCATAAACATCAGCATAACGTAAATTCAAGGCACGCAAATATCTGAACTTCAAAAATCTATCAGGTGCAAAACTTTTCAAAAATAAAGTACGCAACCTTTCAGCACTCTCATTTTGGATATTACCAATACTTTCCCAACTGGAATATAGTGCTAAATGTCGAACATGGAGATTCTCTTTTCCCTTATCATCCTCTTGACTAAAGCAATCGGGTTTTGAAATCAATTGTGAAAGATCATGCACCAAATCATGCATCTTACAATTTGTAATGTTGTTATACTCATCCTTCTCAATATCTTGAAATAAGGAACTTTGCAACAAAGCTTCAAAATATTCATTACCAATATCCTCCAGTACCCTGTTACTTCCTTCCTTGGGTTGAAGATATTCTTGTGCCATCCATAGTTGGATTAATTGTTCCTTTTCCATGAGGGAATCTTTTTTGAAAAGTGAACAATATGCAAAACAGTGTTTTAGTGTTGCCGACGATAAATGGTCAAAACTCAACTGAATAATAGGAAGTACACCATTTGCATCTCCAACTGCACTCCACACTCCATCATTTAAAATTGCCAACCATTCATCTTTGTCCTTCTTCGAGTGCATCATACTCCCCGCTAACTTTGCTGCCAATGGTACACCATTACATTTTTCTGCAATTGTCCTTCCAATGTCTTCTAAATCTGAATTAATTGGAGCTCCTCCATTTGCAAATGCTTCACCTTTGAATATGGACCAACAATCTTCTGATGAGAGTTTTTCCACACAATACTTAGGGAGCGTCTCCACAATTGAGGCCACTCTAACACTACGCGTAGTAATCAGAATGTTGTTCCCATGCATTGTACTCACTCGTAACATACAAGACTTAAAATCATTCCACTTGTTATGATCTTCGTTCCATACATCATCAAGTACGAGCAGATATTTTTTTCCTCCCAATTTTTCCCGAAGTTTTTCAAGAATTACAGTTTGAATCTCTACGTTACACTTCTCCTTTGTCAGAGTTTCAAGGATCTCTTTTAAAAGTCTTTTGACATCAAAATTCTCAGATACACATACCCAAATTCTTGAATCGAAGTGTCTCGTTATCTCATCGCCATTATAGATTAACTTAGCCAAAGTTGTTTTTCCAAGGCCTGCCATTCCCACAATGGGAATCACAGAGACAACATCCTGATTTTTTGGGCTGGTTAACATTTGAACTATATTTGATGCATCACCATCCCTTGCTACAACAACTTCAGATTGGTGAAGAAGTGAGTTGGTCTCTCGGCCAATAAAGAGTTGGGGGTTAGCCACCTGTGAAACCCCTTGGTGAAGAAGGGAATCGGCCCCTTGGTGATCTACAGTGACTTGAGAAGGAGCTGCTAGTAAACTCAGTCGAAGTCCCAAAACCTTTGCTTCTTCGTTGATCTTAACCAAGGATGTGTTGATTTTCTTGATTTTATGAGCCATTCGGGAGCGAAAGAAGACTGGGTTAGAACTTGAAAAGAAAAAGCGCACCTTTCTCCTCATTTGATCTCGAATCTCCACCTTTCGCCGGGCGATTTCGTAAGCGAACTCATCCAAGACATCATCGGCTCGATAAGTTTCATCCTTAAGCTTCTCCAGCCATAGCTTGACGGACTTCTCGCCAACTCCTCGTGTCTCGGCATCAGCTAAAAAGGCTTGAATCATTTCAACTGAGTCTTTGAGCTTAGCCAGATCTCCCTTGAAGCCCCACACAAGGCCGATCTCTTCAGCTGCAAGAGAAATTGCCTTACTCAATATTTCTTTGACAAGATCAGCCGCTACACCTTGAATGTCAACCATTGAAGATTAACTTCACACACAGGCAGGCACAGAGAGAGGGAGAGAGAGAGAGAGAGAGAGAGATGCCATGAAAATGTGAAATGAAAGAGGTTTATCTGGCGTGCAGTGTGAAAGAGAAATAAAAAAATGTAGCTGCGCGTGCTTTGTGCTAAGCGCTGTGTCTTAGTTTTGTTTAACACTAAGCACCTCCAAACAATACAATTGTTTGCTTTTATCATATGAGATGAGGAATCTTTGACTAATTTGTCTCCTCATATCTCAAGTAATCAATCAAAATTTATCAACTGTTCACTAAAATTGCATCGCATGAAAATTTAGTTACTGTTCACTAAAATTGTTTAATCTCTATTTCTCTTTGCAAATTACTTTGTTAGTGTTCCAATAATCCGACTTCTGTAAAATTTTTCAAATTATAAAGGCTTGTATCCACAAAACCCATATTTCAAAAATCAGAGGGGATACCTTGAAATATGACCTAAATTCATTTGGTGTCGATGAAATTTACCCATATAGCTTCAATATGGAGGCATAGATTAAACTCAAGCTTTTCTGCGTGAAAGAATAGTTTGAACCTATGCTTGCTTTTCAATGAAACAAGGCTTTCAATAGAAAACTTCGAAAATGGGTCTTGCAAACACACTTTTACATTAAAAGTGTTAATGGTTTCATTTCATTTGTCACAGTGACCTGACAAAGATTAATTAATGTGGATTTGGATCCATATTCATTGAAAGTGGTGGTTGATCAGCTATGAAACGAGAAATAAAATATGTACCTGCTCCATGATAAACATTGTTTAATTGAGCCGGCTGGGTTGGTCACTTGCCTATTAAGTTAAGTGTCTTCATTCATCACTGTTTGTCATTTTTAATTGTATATAAACATTAAAGCATTGCTAGAATTTGAAATTTGTGATTGATTTAATTGGTAGAACGTTAGAGGAAAGTGGGTTTGGTAAACTCACCCATCAATATTGTCATTTTTAATTGTATATGACAATAGAGTCATATTAAATGATGACATTTAGAAAATGATTGGAATTTAAAAAATTGGCAAAATATGAAAGGAACGCAATTTTTTCTTCTTTGTCGTTTTGCCCTATTATTTTTAATCTTGAAATTACTAAGACAATGATTCCTTATAGTACGTCGTTATTAGCTATCTGACTTTAACATGGAAATGATGATTGTATTTAATCAACCCTTTTTACTGAAATGAGATTTCATTCTGTATATTTTCTCTTTTATTTTCTTCTTAATGGATCATCTACCATTTATTTAAGTAACACTCATTGTATGTAAGTGTCTTCCACTCATTAAAGGTAGTTAATCTGTTAAACAGAAGAATTGTAGAGAAAAGCATTGCAGATCATCTGGATCGAATTTTATCAACTCATTGGGAATCAAGGCAAAAGGAAAACAACGATACCCACCCATCAACATCCGTCTGATTTCAAAAACTTGGGCCTTCACACAAACAAAACGGATCTATTTTGACTCGATATTTCTGGGACACGCAATTAACGGGTTTAAAAATGATTAATTTTAAAACAAACCATAAAATAATATCAGGCGCTAGCACAAATAATAAACACGACATCTTGTGTCAGAAGTTGTGTAACAAAATTTGACATGATTAACCTATTTAATTATCAATGTCAACCCGGTAATACAAACCCGAAAATGATCCAGAACTAGATGAATACCATCATAATGAACTGGCAAAGATTAATTAAATGTGAGTTTTCGAAGATACCATCACACGAAATATCTATAAATAGCAGTTCAAATCTATTGTTCTTATTAGAAAATATTCGAACCCTCCATAATCTATACTAGTTATTACACAAGTGCGTTGCACGTGAACTATTTCCAAACAAATTTTTACATTTTATTTTTAAAGTATCAAAAATATTGTAATGTGACACTTCTATTAGTTTATCGTTAATTTTTCCGTTAGTGCCAATAGATGGGCGGAGCTCCTATGCTGTTAACGGAAAACAGCACAGTATACTGTTAAACAAACTGGCATTTTGTTAGATGGGGCCAAAGGTGAGAATTCTTTAAGGTAAATGATGTGAACGAAAATTTTATTTAAAATATTTCAATATCTATAAAATAAAACACAATATGAACCACAAAAACAACTCAATTGCTTACACCAGATGGTTAATTTAATAATTTATATTTAAACATACTTATACTTCAACTAAAGTAAATATTTAATCACCTACTTACATTTAGAGTGGGATTTTTTTTATGGAAAATTCTATTTGGACCTAAAAATTTGACATAATTTGCTGACTTAATGACGTAACTTCATTGAAATTATTGGATAACCACGAAATTCCAATGTTTGATGGAGCCCACAATTAATCCAAAGATTATAGTGAATTAGGTCAACAAATTAAGTCAATGAATTATATCCCTATAGCATTGCTCTTTTTTATACGATATAATAAAATAGTTCAAACCAGATACAAAATTCAAAGGTTAATGCTTACAATTTTTTGATACGAATTAAAAATATATGAATTGTCAACATGAAAAAACGTAAAATTAACATGATTAACATATTTAACTTTTATTGTATAAATGAGATACCATATTATGGTTATTTCTTTATTGGGTATTAATATGAATCCTTGTAAAAGATGATTGTTTACATATTTTTTATAATTTGGTGAATTTAGCAAATTTTTAATCAATAATAAAATTATGAGATAGTTTTGTTCAAATATAATAAATGTTAGTTTTACATTTTAGATTCAAAATTTAAATACGTTAATTCGAACATAGTTTGATAATAAATACGTATGACTAGTGTCATGACGTATTACATAATTAATAAAATAAATTAAATAAGGTTGACTTGTATTTAACATGAACCCGAAATAAACAATTCAAACACAACTCAGCATGTAAATGTTTTCAGTATCATATTCAAAAAAAAATCAGTACCATATATTAAATAGATTTTTTATTTATAAATTTTAATTTGAGTTTTATTTTATCTTTGAAATTTAAAAAGTTAAGTAAAATAATAAATAATTTTTTCACGTGTTATTTTGTGATCAGACTAAAAAATACAATATTTAAAAAAATGTCCAGTTAGTATTTTGGTGGAAGAGTGCAAGTAAAGACTTTGTATTTTAAAAATTGTTTGTCTACTTGTGCGGAAAATATCTTCACAGGGGACCACATTTAACAAAACCCCAGCGTTTTGTTTAATAGCACACTGTGCTGTTTTTCGTCAATAGCAGAGGAGCTCTGCCGGTCAATAGATTGACTTTTGACGAAAAAAATAACATAAACTAACAGAAAGATTATATTAAAATACTTTGAACTGATGAACAGGCAGATCAGTTCAAAGTATTTTCATAGGCTCATACATCATAAACTGAAAAACGAGAACCTACTCTAAGTCTAGTGTAATTTGACTGTCTTGATGAAATGAACAAAAGCTTGAAAGCCCACATATTAGGGATATCACTAGGTATCGGAGAAAAAAAAATTACGTAGTAGATTATTGAATGTTATTAATTTTATCGGTCAAGTTACATCTTTTAAAAGTATACTTATAACTGATTAGAGTTATTTATGATCGATTACAAAAATGTCGAGGTTAGTGAAAACATGTTTTTTTAGATCATAGATACAATAGCCATGTTGTGTACAAAAATACCCAATAAAGATTTATTGAGAATTTATAACATCTCAGAGATAAGTTTAACTCTTGGAGATAAGCTATGATCATTACATGCGACCAAAAACCTGCAAGTGATAATATTAGGGTTCAGAATGAAGGAGAAACTCGTGATAAAATTTAGCTAAAAGTGAAAGAGTTAGCATGTATCTAGTTAAATACGATACAAATTCACTAAATATGACATATACACAACACAAACTCATACCACCTGAACCCGACTATGTACACTTACATATGGGTTGGACATGAACTAAACTAATTTTAACTCGACACAACTTAGACATGATATATAAACCCACACGAAACCGACCCACTAATAGTCCTAATTTTTCATGTCAAATTGGTTTTATTTAATTTTAATGCGAATCCAATCAATTTTTCACGAGCACTTAATTCATGCAGCGTGATGCTGCTTCACTTTGGACGAAAGACAAGGACGAGCATGGCCTCTCAGGCTGTTATTTGATAAAAAGGTTGATTAAATACAATCATTATTTCCATGTTAAAGTTAGACAGCTAATAACGACATATTATAAGGAATCATTGTGTTAGTTGCAAGATTAAAAATAATTTATAATATAAAACATAACAGATTTTAATAAATTTATTCGACGGTTTCAAATATATTCATCCAACGACCACTAACATCCCTTTTAAAACTATTTACATTGTATCGTGAATTCAAATACGAGTTATCCCTAGTAGGGAAGAAAAAGAAGAATAAGAAATTGCGTTTCTTTCATGTTTCGCCCAATTTCTAAATTCCAATCATTTTCTAGACATCATCATTTGGCATGACTTTATTGTCATATAAAATTAAAAATGACAATATAAATGACAATATTGATGGGTGAGTTTACCAAACCCGCTTTTCTCTGACCATTTAACCTAAAATACTAATTTGATGATAAGCATTGTTTAATTGAGCTGGCCGGTTGGTCACTTGCCTCTATTAAGTCTAGTGTCTTTGTTCATTAATGTTGTCATTTTTAATTGTACGGCAAAAATCATAATTGATCCCTAAAATTTATTTTCGATTTCAATTTAGTCTTTGAACTTTTAATTATCTCAATTTAATCTCTCAACTATGAATTTCGTCCCAATTAAGTCTTTTTGTATGTTTTTACTGTTAGATCAAATGGGACTAGTCCAATTTAATCAATTTTCACCATTAGATTATATGTTTCCATTTGATATAAGGTGACCCACCCTGTCAGACTGCTATAACTGTGAAATTCCTAGTGGTTGACGCACCTTCAGCATACAATTTGCTCCTTGGAAGACCCTCGCTC